CTAGTGGGAGAAAGCTGGTAGGCCTTCATATGAAAGAATGGGTCTATGTGGTCAGTGTGCACAGTCTAAAAAAAATCCTGCAGCACACAGTGCATAATGAGAAAAAAAAACTTTGACCATTTTTTTTTAATAAATCAGCGACTTTGCAGTGTATTTTCGTATGGTATTTATTGTTGTATTCTAGTTTTCTTGGTCTCATTTTATAGAATGGAAGACATATTACAGAAATTGAGATGATTTTGACTGGTTTTACAATGAAAGGTGCCTTGAAATTGAGCTCAAAGTAGCAGAAATGTTCGATTTTTACCAAACTTCAAAAGTAAACAAATCGTGCCAAGCGTGCAATACACGTCAACTGGTGAGTCTAATATTCTTTTACAAGTGCACCAATAATATTTATACCATTTTTTACACTAATGCAGTAGTCTGCATAACAGTAAATCTTATATTTTTTGTGAGAATAAAAATTCAAAGTGGAAAGCAAAAGAATATAAGAGGGCCTTTGAGACGTGACTAATGACTAGAGGAAATGTCGTTTTAGTGCCGGGAATGTCTTTCTTGTTTATTCTGGACCCTATTCGGAAATTGGCATCTTTTGAAATTTGTGCGAAATTGGCAAAATTGCTAAATTCTGACCACTGTACTGGATAGTTGAATTTATAAATGGGTGGTTTCTTGCACCCATTCGATAGAAAAAATGGAGTTCTAGCGAAATATTCATGTTTTTTGTCGACTAGTACAGTGAAAATTGGCCGAAATGGGGCTCAAAGTGGGCAAAATCGCCGATGCGTAAACATCGCCGAGACCGCTAACTTTGCGAGAGCATAATTCCGTAAGTTTTCTATCAAATTTCAAACTTTTGGTGTCTTTATGATCGGGAAAAGATTCTCTATCTTTTCATAAGAGAAAATAATTTTTTTTTTTTTTTAAATTTGGCCGACCCTGAGAACGAGTTTCGGAGAGGGCCTGTCGACCCTCAAAGGGTTAAGGGGGCATAGAGCCAAATCGTCTTTTTTTTTATTCTTTTGGTCCAATTTCAATGGAATTTTTACTGTGAATTAAGCAGCATTTGAAATCTAGTGTAAATTACCTAGGATAACTCAAAAAATCCAGACCAAGTGTTATAGTGTGCTTGTAGATATAAGGCATAATAAGCATGACTGGCAAGTAATATGCATTTTCACTTGTTCAGGAATCAGACGTGACGACTCTGCATTTTGTAATACCTGTTAGTTCATAAGCGGCTCTCTGAGACAGACACACAAGCAGGCAGGAAGACAGACAGATAAGCAGAGACAGAGCCAGACAGACAAATAGATAGACAGTCATATAGACAGACAAATAGACAAATAGGCAAACAGACAGACATATTTATATGTAACAGTGAAAACAAAGAAAGCCAAAGCAGTGCACGGTCAGCAGATGTCACTGCTACACTGTCAGCAGTGGAGTGACACTGTCTTACACCATGCTTCAAGAAGTTTTATACATACAGTGGACCCTCAACTAACAGCGGCATTAAGTAATGGCAAATTCGTCTAACGGCGCGTTTTGGCGGAAAAAAAAGTCTCTACCAACAGCGAAAAACACTACCAGTGACGTTTGTCCGGAACGTGTCCTTGCGCCGGGAGCGCAGCCTGAGTGGTCCCAGGCACTCCAAGACTCAGTGTTCCATTGTTTACAAGCTGTTGGGGTCGAGTTCCACGTGTGCCCGCCATATATTTTGGACTATTCCAGTGATTTTTGTGCTTGTAACTGCTAAATAAACCACCATGGGCCCCAAGAAAACTTCTAGTGCCAAGCCTGTGTTAAAAAGGGTGAGAATTACAATGGAAATGAAAGAGAGAATTAAAAAATACGAGAGTGGAGTGCATATGTCTGATTGGAAAGGCAATACAACAAATCACATTCAACCATCAGTACTATCTTGGCAGACAGAAAGGCAATCAAGGAAGCTGTTTTTGCGAATGGTTCAAGCATGTTTTCAAAATGGAGACCACAAATAATTGAAGAGGTAGAGAGACTGTTATTGGTATGGATAAACGAAAAACAATTATCAGGAGATGGTGTTTCTCAGTCTATAACTTGTGAAAAGGCAAGGAAGTTGCATGATGGTCTCATTGAGAAAATGCCTCAAAATAGTGCTGCTGATGATGAATTTAAGACCAGCAAAGGCTGGTTTGAGAGATTTAAGATTCGTAGTGGCATACACAGTGTGGTAAGGGATGGTGAGGCAGCCAGCTCAGACAAAAAAGTGGCTGAAAAATATGTGAAGGACTTTAAGAGGTAAAACCTGAACAAGTGTTTAATTGTGTCGAAACAGGCCTGTTTTGGAAGAAAATGCCAAACAGCACCTACATTGCTCAGGAGGAAAAGGCACTCCTAGGACATAAGCCTATGAAAGACAGGCTGACATTAATGTTCTGTAGTAATGCTATAGTGGTGATTGCAAAGTGAAGCCTTTATTGGTGCATCACTCTGAAACTCCCAGAGTGTTCAAGAAAAACAGTCTCATCAAGGGTAATTTGTGTGTGCTGTGGAGATCAAACAGTAAGGCATGGGTCACTAGGGTATTTTTCTTGGACTGGTTTTATGGTGTGTTTGGCCCCACTGTGACAAAATACCTCCAGGAAAAGAAATTGTCACTCAAGTGCCTCCTGGTAATGGACAGTGTTCCTGCTCATCCTTACGACTTGCAAGAGGAAATTGCAGGGGAGTTTGGTTTCGTTAAGGTGAAGTTTTTTGCCTCCTAATACAGCTCCTTTCCTCCAGCCCATGGACCAGCAGGCCATAAAAGCAGTGTTTCAAAAGTGCTTTGAAGTGACCTCAGACACTCATTTGACCCTAAGAAAGTTTTGGAAAGATCACTTCAATATCCTCAGTTGTGTAAACCTTATAGGTAAGGCTAGGGAGGGAGTGACTAAGAGGACCTTGAACTCTGCTTGGAGGAAACTGTGGCCAGAATGTGTAGAACAGAGGGATGTTGAAGGGTTTGGGGCTAACCCTCAGGAGGTTATGCCAGTAGTGGAAGTTACTGTGTCACTGGGGAAGTTCTTGGGGTTGGAGGTTTGTGACGAGGACGTGGAAGAGTTGGTGCAGAACGATGAGGAAGAAATAACCACTGCAGACCTGCAAGAGCTTCAGGTGCAACAGCAACAGATCACATCTCAGGAATGTTGTTCAGAGCAGGAGGAAGAGAGGCGGAGGAAGATGTCGTCAAAGATTAGGGAAATGTGTTCAATGTTTACAAAGGTGCAAGCATTTATGGATGAATTTTATCCTGTCACAGAAGCTGCAAGCTGCATTGGCAACATATATAATGACACTCGTGTCCTATTTTAGGGAAATCTTAAGGGCACGTGAGAAACAGAGCTCTCTGGACAGCTATTTTGTGCGACTGGGGTCCAGTGACTCTGAAGCTGGTCCTAGTGGCATTAAAAAAGCAAGAAGGGAGGTAACCCCACCAAAGGACTTGGTACCTGAAGTCTTTATGGTAGGGATTCCCTTCCTAAACAGTAGAAAACCTGAATCATCCCTGCTGCTGGCACATCACTCATCAACAACTCCACAATAAAGGTAAGTGACATTTAATTATTGTTTATTTTGCATGTTCCATTCGTTTTGGTGTAGGGAAATGTATATTTCATGTAGAATTTTTTTTTTCATACTTTGTGGTGTAAGGAATGGATTAATTCTATTTCCATTATTTCTTATGGGGAAAATTAATTTGACCAACAGCAAATTTGACTAATGACAAGCTCTCTGGAACGGATTAATGCCGTTGGTTGAGGGTCCATTGTACTCCAGCATGTCTAAAATATTCCTGGGACCTATAAATACTTTGTATATGTTTCTAGACAATAGTAGGTGACCAAGAGAGGTGAAAAATGTTCAACTGTAAGTGTGTTTGTGGCTATTTGAGTACTATTTCAGTACCTAATATTAGTGTCAGAACAAACATTGACAATGAAATCACAAGAACTACAAATTTTAATTATCAGAACATGAAAGTTGTATAAATTAAAAAAAAAAAAAAACGAGAAAAAAGGTATATCTGCAACACTCTGCAAGCGGCAGGACTCCATGTTGCTGTCTGGTGAGCATCCAGCGCCAATTTTACAATCTTACATCTCTGTAAGTACTGACCCTAAAAAAATTTTTTTTGGGTCTTATTACACAGAAATTTCTCTTCTTTAATTTAACTTTTTTTTTTTTTTTCAATATTTTCGGAGCGCTGGGTGTGAGAATGTAGATCTACATTTGGACAGTTAATAAGGTAATGAACTATTTGTGGGTTGCCCATCAGTAAAAATGTTTGAAATCGAATTTTACAAATACGATTTCCTACGAAGTTGTGGTGTGTGCCGTGTAAGGTGTGAACTTTTATATGTGACTTTATTAAGGTATCCATTGTAAACATCAACTGACATGAGTTTCCATAAGGCTTATATTGCTAGTTAATTGGAATGTTGTTTCTCTTGCTAGTAATAACAGTAGCTCTTGGATTACTGTCATTATTAATCCTCTAGTTACTCGTGTCTTAATTTCCCTTTATTTTATATTTTATTGGAGGCAGCTTATTAAAGTGATGGCCATAGTCATTTGTAAGTCATTACAATATGGGCCATATTATGTCTTTAGCAGAAAAATATATTTGCATTAGCCACTGAAGAATAAATTTTTACTTCAAAATTTGTCTTGAGAATGTTATACATGGCTCACATTTTAACGTCCTGAATTGGATTGTCCTTGTATTAACCTAGGGTCAAAGCTGACTGTGTCACATATTAAGTTATTTTGATGTAGTGCTATATTACTAAGCCAACTTTATTTCATTGAAATATAACTTGTCATTATTTAATAATTACTGTTCATTATGTTTATTAATTGCAGTGGTTAGGTTTGAATTATAATTTTGAGAATTATATGAATATAACTGATTTAAATATTAAACAATGAGCACTCCTTAACTGTTAGTAATTAAGAATTTTTCTTTTCAGCCACAACATAGCACGAAACCAAAAGGAAAGGTTTCTGAGTCTTTTAAAAATTGCAACGAAATTCTCAAAGATCTTTTTTCTAAAAAGCATTCGGTAAGTGTTATATTTCAGCATATGTAGTATTGTCTCTCAAAAATGTAGCGCACATGTTGTTTTCTTCACTGTAAGATAAATACAATGTTATAAAGTAGTACAGTAGTCTTCAGAATTTATGATGAACTACCTACCTACTTTCACTTAGTTTCTTTTATCTTTACTGCAGTCTGAACAATTGCAGTGACATATGTAGACTTGAATTATCTTCAAATACAAGGTTAGGCTGTGAACAAGGAAGTCTGGCCTCAGGCTGGGCTGTGAGGGTAGAAGACCCTTTGACATCAGTCAAAGGTAGCTCTTATGCTGATGCTCAGTATAGAGCTGGTTTCCACTAAGACTGTTCTTGTGTGAAGAAGCAGCAGTTTTATGGTACCAGTACTTGGTGCATCATGGACTGGCTCAGATTTGCAATACAAGAAGTGATCATTGCCTGTTTTCTGACATGTTAGGAATTTTTCTCTTACAATTTTCAGAAGTCGATCAACTACACGAGGGTCATTACATGCATGAGGCTGCACATAGCCTTTTCACCCTAGCTAAGAATACTTTATTCTCTACAATAGGGATTGAACTCTTGGCACATACATACACTGAAAGATATACTTCTTTGATTATTTATATATTAGACTTAATATCAGGCAGCTCTTGTGACTGCCTGGAATACGTTGGTACAGAAGCAATTCCATATGCACATAAAAGAGACAAATGAAATGTTGGTCTGTGAGTGCACACATGCAACCGTTGCTTCTCATGTATATTCAGTTGTCCTCATATTGCACATTGGCTGAAACTGACACTTGTACTGCATTACTTTGAAATCAGTAAGGTTATCTGAGTCAAGGTATACTAAGACATTGTCACCAGGGCAGAAGTTTGTATAAGCATGAGAAAATAAGTGAGGGATAAGTGGGTTGCCTGTTGGGGGTTATATACTGTACCACAAAACGGATGTTTCTTTGGAAAGTTCTGATAGACATATGAATTTCATGAACTTAATACAGTGAAAGAAGAATATATGCTAATTTTTAAGTGTCATAAAGGACATAATAGTAGTTGGTGAGTATACAAGCCTGGATGGTGAAAAAAAAGATCTTTAATAATTATTAAAAATGATTCTGTGACACTCTCAGACCTGTTGATTTGGTTGATGGCCTGATCATCCAATCATTTAGTGATTATGACTTACAAGCTGACAAATATCACATCCCAGCTAATACAACAGACTGACCTAATAATTACTGTTATAACTGAAGAATATACAGTAATGACATATCGTTGACCTTGCCTAGTAGTGTAATGTTTCCATTCGAGGGCATTCTCACACACCCTTGTGTAATATACTCGTAGTAACTGTTTTCACTTTTAGTATTACAGTTGGTGTTCGTTGCATATTCCTGAAGCAGATACAGTGGACCCTTGAGTTTCGTAAGCCTTGTGCTTCGTAAGCTTTGACTTTTGACAACTTTTTTGTCAAAATATAGCCTCGCGGTTTGTAATTTGCTTCGCCATTAATCCCTTGTCTATAACTCATATGAGCGGCTTCCCAGGGTCCGCGCGCACACAGAGGCGCCTCACACACCATTCCCAGTCAGTGTGGCATTGTTCATTGGTGAGTGAACATCACCCCACGTGTTCATATGATAAATTTCGTAATAATCCATTGTTTTTTGTGCTTGCAACTGCTAATTAAACCACCATAGGCCAAAAGAAAGCTCCTAGTGCCAGCCCTTTGGTAAAGAAGGTGAGAAACACAATAGAATTCAAGAAAGAACACGCCAGCCATGGTAGTTCCCCCACACAAACCAATCAGGGTACTTCCCCACACACATGATTTGATTTGAGTGGGACTTGCACATGAGTGAATAAAATTATCAAAGCTTATTGCTTGGGGAACATTGAAAATTGGGTTGGGCAAATATTCTGTTAGTGGGGTGGTTTGTGAAGGACCTGCCTAGTATGGGCTAACAGGCCTGCTGCAGTGTTACTTCTTTCTTATGTTCTTACGTGCACCAGCTGTGGAAATTGTTTCAGAGGAGGAGGAAGAGAGAGGGAAGAAGGTGTCTTCTTCAAAGATTAAGGACATTTGTGCAGAATGGAGTGAGGTGCAAACATTTTTGGAGGAACATCACCCTAACCCTCCTCCCCTCCTCCCCTCCTTCCCTCCTGTCTTCCATACACCAACAAGAGTCTTCAGTAAAGGTAAATGTGATGTTATTATTGTTTTATACTTTATTTCTCTTTCTTTTTCTGTATGTAAATCTATATTTAATGTAAAAAAATATTTTTTGTTAATACTTTTGGGTGTCTGAAATGGATTAATTGGATTTACATTATTTTTTTATGGGGAAAATGGTTTTGCTATTCTTAACCCCTTCAGGGTCCAAGGCCCAAATCTGAAGTGGTGCCCCAGTGTCCAAGAATTTAAAAAAAAAAAAATTTTTATTTTTTCTTATGAAATGGTAGAGAATCTTTTTGTGAAGGTAATTAAAACAAAAAGTACGAAATTTGATGGAAAATTGACGAAATTATGCTCTCGTGAATTTTGATGTGTCAGCGATATTTACGAATCGGCAATTTTGCCGACTTTGACTCCCAGTTTAGGCCAATTACATTATTCCAGTCAACCAAATTCTTAGCTATTTCACTAGTATTACTTCTATGCTATCGATTGAGCACAAGAAATCGCCAAGTCAACTGTTTCAACTACAAAATAAAGTGATCGGGAATTGTTAATTTGGCCAATTTAACACAAAGTTCAAAATATTCCAATTTCGAAATGGGGTCCAGAATAAACAATGTAGGCATTCCTGGAACTAAACTAACATTTCCTCTGTTCATTACTTACGTTTTGAGGCTTTACAAATAAATTCCATTTTGATTTTTTATTCACATAATGAATTTTTATTCACACCAAAAAATAGTAGATTTACTGGTATGCAATACTGTAATAATTGTATAAATATCATAACCATATTTGTGAATGTATATTAGACCCACCAGCTGGTGTGTATTAGACGTGTGAGGTCGTTTGTTTACTCTTGAATATCGGCAAAAATTTAACATTTCCTCTACTTTGAGCTCAGTTTCAAGCTATTTCCAGTGCTAAAACCAATCAAAATCATCTCTATTTCTGTAATATGTCTTCCATTCTATCAAATGAGACCAAGAAATCGCAAATACAACTATAAAAACATACGAAAAAACACTGCAAAGTCGCTGTTTTAATCGAAAAATCATGATTTCAGTTTTTTTCTCTCATTATACACAGTGTGCTGCAGGATCTGTTTTATGTGGTGCACACATACCACATAGATGTATTCTCTCATATCTAGGCCCAAATGTACCACTCACAGTTTATCAGAGTGAGCTGAGCTCATGGTCCACTGAGGGTCCACTGTATAACTTTTACCTTTACTTCTATTTTATTATCAGTTTATTTAATATACGTATTTGTAGTTTGAAGCATTTACCTGATTTGCTTCACAGGTTCTCCTCCACATTCGCGAGGGTTAGGGAATCAAGAACCTCGAGAATGTTGAAAAGTCACGAATGTTTGGTGCACATATATATTGTAGGGAAATATAATAATAGCATTTACTTAGCCTAACAATACTGCTTCCTTAACCTTTTGAATCATGAACAATCATAAAACATGTGAAAACATCGTAAAATATTGCACTAGTGCCAGCCCTTTGGTAAAGATGAGAGACATACTATAGAATTCGAGAAGAACTCATAGCAGAGTACCGAAGTGGAGAAGGAAGAGAGAGGTAGAATGTGCCTTCTTCAGTGATTCTATGATATGTACGGTACTAAAACATCACGAGTTGATAAAGGCTGTAGCGCCAGTCAGTGATAAAGTGTAGCATTAACAGTGAAGCGAATAAGTTAAGTGATTAATTGATAGAAGGACAGCATGAACCCAACTCCTTGAATGTTGTTGGAGTTATATCGGGTGACTGACAACACCGCCGCCTCTGCTGGCCTTCAGGGGCCTATGACAAGTGCGACGCATGGAGTAAAAAAAAAAAAAAAATTGGAAAAATACGAAAATTGAGTTAATCTTACCAAAAAATAGCTGAACTTTCTGGTTACACTGGTATAATTATCATCATTATACAATGTTTCTACAAGGAATTATAGTCATTTATAACATGTATGGTGACAGCGCCTTGCACAGCATGCGTGCTGACATGGCATTTTTTTTTTCCGTGTTTTCTTTTATCAGTTTCTTATATCTTTACGTTTAATATAATACAACTTCACCATTTGAGATCATAGAGTGGATGGAGCAAATATAGTCTGGGAACCAATCAGCACTTATTCCCTGGGAATAAGTGCTGACAGGCCATAAATTACATTGTCACGGCCAAGACACAGCAGTCAACAAAATGTTCTATACTCATGCTAATATCAATTATAGGGCTTATTTACCTATCGCAATTGATCTAATATGATGTAAGGCAGTATAATAATAGCATAGAAACAAAAAAAAGTATGCCACAAATAATATCTAACATATGACGCCTGAGAGGAAAGGAACTTTATGGACACAACCCACCACAAGGCTTATACCCGTTCTCTCGTCACTATTATGAGAGAAAATGGAGCTAGACGGTGGCTTAACTGTAATAACCACTCGTAGGTTATGAAAAAAGTGTAAAGAAAGCGATTTTTTCAGGGAAAAAAAAATTTCCCCGTGTATTTGGGCAGCCACGCGTATTGGCCAGTATCTCAGAAGTAAGTTATTTACCTATTTGGGGACCAGCGTAACTTACTTACGAACGAATTGACCTGATTTTCACAACAAACATAAAAGAATGATTGCTCTACACTATGGCATTCAGCTTTTTGACGTATCCCAAATATTTTCAGATTTGTGTGGGTAAACAAGTGCGATATCATCCTGAATGTCATAAAACTCATAAACTGTATTTTTTTTAGAATGAAGATAAGGTTTATTACAGATTTCATACTGAAGGAGGATGGAATTAGAAGTGTTCCATCAGCAGCAAGTGTCAAAACCACTTTTCCAAGTACCACTTGGTA